AGAGCAGTGCGGGCCTCGAACGTAAGGTAAGCGAGCTAACGAAGATTTTCATCGCAGCTGATGCTGCAACATCATTCCTCAGTTCTTCAACAGACGTTACCTATGCAGCATAGAGTCAAAACACCTAGGATAGAACGATTGCTCGGGAGCAGCTGCCCTCCCCGTCAGGTCTGGGTTTGATAGGCACAGCTGCGGAGCGGCCTAGGGTAGAGGAGAAGCATCAGGTTCTATCACGAGTTGCAGCACGTGTTGCTGCAATTCCTAAAGCAAAGAAAACTAAACACACATTCACTCATACCCAAGCTTCTCGCCGATGTATGCTCACTGTACATAACTGCCAAGCCGTTCATTGACCCTCAGTAACCTCCCCATAGCATCGCTCTCTCACAGCGCTGCTGCAACGGCAAGGAATGCTGCGGCAAGGCCGAGCAAACTGGGCAAGGCGGCCGCGGCGGATCCTTCGAGGGCGGTGACGATCTGTTTCCACTGCTCCTCTCTGCACAACGCACACCAACAAAGCNCCTCTCTGCACAACGCACACCAACAAAGCAAAGAGCTGCAGCTGTGTAGAGGCCGCATAAGGAACAGGGCAGAGATGCTGACATAAGAAAGCTTTCGTGAAAGGATGGTTTTCACTGTTAGCCGGAGGAACATAAAGCATAGTTATGCAAATCAAAGCAGGATGCTTTCCTTTGTTTCTTCAGTTCTGGGGGTTTCTTCTTCCTCTTCCTTATCCACCTCCGATACAACACCCCCTATGGAGTGGTGGTGATCTTCCTAGTACAGGTGATGACTCAGCAGTCGGCGGTAGCATCGTCAGAAGTGTTGTACATGGCCACGAAAGATATGTTATTCCGATTGGTATACAACTCCTCGCTACCCGTGTTCGGTGAAGGCAATCTATTGAAGTTGTTGTACGCATCCTTCCTTTTTTTGTATTACATCAGTACAACTAAGACTAGCGGCGTCGACAACATTCAACGCGTATGTGCCTCTCACAAATTTTTTTTTTTTCCAGCATCTAACTCGGAGCTCTTGTCTGCTGTTTCTTTCTGAGGACACCAAGACAACGAGGGGCTGATGTTCTTAGAAAGAAGCAGCAGCATGAGGACAGCAAGACAACGAGGGGCTGATGTTCTTATGCAAACGCCGCATACGTAGTTCCTATGGAGAACATTGCGAGAGGGGTGATGAACTTACTGGTATCAAGACATAGCAAACGGGCATATAAGCCCAGTCTGATACTTTTTTACTTTGTGAATCTTTTTCTTTCGCGGGGGTATTTTCCTCGTTTCACTTTCTTTACCTTCTATTAACTCGTTGACGTCGATACCCTTGCGAGCAGTGTTGATCTCAGAAAAAGCAGATGCCATCGATTCCTGCAGTTGCAGAGACACGGCAATATCCTGTCTCCTTATCAGCCACAGACCGAAGCAATGCAATGAAAGTTACACTTGCCGCTTCAACTCTTCTGCAGAGATATCCTGCGAAGAGGAGTTTGCAACAAAGGTAACACTGCAAGCATCTGG